CTCCCGCGGTGGAAAGCTCACGCAGTCTCCGAGACAAAGCGTCAATAGAAATATCTGTTATATTCATAAGTTGTCAAACGAACCAATTGTGCGATTTCTGTTTGCATGTTATTCAAAAACGTATTGACAAACAAAGGAGAATGTTCATCTAATGGAATGGCAGATTCTTCAGTACAAGCATGTTTAAATCTTGCTTAGCTGAAGACAATTTCACTAGAAAAGCAGTCAATTGTCTGAAAAATTATTTTAGCTTTTCCACATCAGCCCAAATCCACGCATTATCTTCATTGTCCTCCGAATCAACTATTTGCAACGTTCTGAAAGATTTTGGTTGTGACAGATCTAATGGTTTATCACTTTTTGATAAAGCACCGTGGCGAGATGGCGGCGCATCCCGTTTAGGACTCAAAACATCAATCTCTGCAATCAATTCTTCCTCTGTAATTTCTGGCGGCAGTGTTTTAGTCAAAATGAAGCGATAATCACGCCCAGTCAATTGACTGTACGCGGTTAAACGCTTCAATACAGACACATATTGATGCGGACACCGTAAAGGATCTGGCAAATCTTTAGCAATCGCGACAGCATCCGACATTGCCAGCGGGGTTATTTTAAACCCGTCTGGAATCTGCACAAATAGGTATAAATCAGTCGCACTAGGTAGTTGGGGATACAGACGATTAGGGGTTAATTTTTCTTGTTCAGGCTTTCCAACAGTATCATACCGAGGCGGAGCCAAGCTGGGAGAGTCAACATGGGACATTAGAAAAAAAATATTTTTTATCAGTCGTTTTAACCTGATCTGGCCCTTTATCCCAATAAGGTTTAAATTTTTTCCACACAGTATATGATTGTTTCATATACTCATCGTCCCAAGACGGATCACCCCAGCCGTCCTGTACCATCGATTTAGCTGCCTTCATATCTTTATCTTTGAACGAGCCATCACGAGGAAACGGATCTAATTGTACTTTGCCCATGCCGTTTCCCATCACTCTTTGCACGATTTGCACACTGCACTGATTGCACACAGC